AAGAAGGCCCCCCAGACCAGCCCTGGCCAGAACTTCGAGGCGGATCCAAGCTCGGCGACAAGGAACACCCCGTAGTTCCGAAACACTCTCGATCCTCGACCCTCGATCACTGACCCAGCTGCCAGGTCTACAAGCGGGTCGCCATTCGACATTCTTCTGGGGTTAACATCTGCGCTGTTGAACTGGGGACACCCTTCGCTTGGGGGCAACTCCTACTCGGACAACCCCTACTCGTAGCCTGTTGCTCGGGGGTTAAGGTCAGGGGGATCTCCTGTCTATCAGCCCCCCCTCACTCCGAAAACACAGGAGTGGCATCCGAAAATGGGGCAGCCCCTACATCGGGTGACGAGGATTGCAACGTCTCAGAGTGGGGGGGCCGACCCTCGCATGCACTCAGTGGTAGCCCGATTGGTCAAGGCCTTGACCATCTCTGAGTTATTCCACTACGCCGGCCTGTCTACCTTGATGACGTTTGGGGTACCCAGCCTGTTTCCTACCGCGGTCGAGGGACCATCAAAGGGGGGAAGATGCCTGCAACGCCGTGGGAAACTTGGCTTATCTAGACAATTCTGTACGGCACTCTGGTCAGGCCTTCGTCTGTCCGATGTGGCGGACGAGAGGGGGGACTAGCAAAGGGGGGGGGGTATCGGGCGCCTCCTGATGCTGGTGGCGTCCCTGTCAGGAGGAGGAGGAGGCGGAGGCGGAGGCGGAGGCGGAGGAGGCGGAGGAGGAAGAGGAGAAGGAGGAGGAGGAGGAGGAGGAGGAGGAGGAGGAGGAGGAGGAGGTCCGAAGTGTAGCCCCCCCCCCCCCCCTCGGCCGTGGTGGTCGCCGGCCCATGGGCTGCGCAGCAGGGCCCGGTGTCTTGCGGAGGCGACGGCCAGGGCGAAGAGCCTCTCCGCCCGGGAGCCTCGCCGTGCACACGGGCGGTCGGGGCGCCTCCGGGTGCATGCCGTGCTCGCCCCTGGGCTGCCCGCCGGTGTTGCAGCCGCCGAGGCTCGGCGCTTCGAGAAGACACTGGGGGGGGGGGGACTGGGCGGAGGCCGTGCGCATCCTCGGCGCGCGCCACGGCGTCCGCGGTGGCCGCCGCCCGCCCCCGCGCGCCCGCGGAGGTCCAGCCGGGGCCCACCGCGCTGATGAGCCTGATCACAGGCGGCGGCGCGCCAGCCCTCCCGCAGCGCCTCCCGCGCCCGCCGGCTCTGCTCCCGCAGGCTGTCTCTCCGGCAGGCGCAGCTCTTCCCAGTCGGTGCGCCAGGCGTGCTGTCAGAACCTGCCAGGCGTTTCGCCTCAGGCTTCCTTCGCGCGTGCGCTCCTCGCGCAGTCTCGCGTAACATCTCTGGCTTGCCCGGTTGTCTTTCTCGTCTCGCGTTGTGGATCCATTGTCTGTTGGCATCGACTGAGACGAAGCAGCATGCCTCCATTGAGGGACAGCAGATTTCTCGGCCCTGTCACCGTTCACGATCTTGAAGCTTGAGTAATTCATCGGATGCGGGGTGGGCTGTTTTCAAAATCAGTTTCTCTCCTTGGCGCCGCGCAAATGCGTTTTTTTGAGCCATCAAACATTTGCACTGGTCGGGGGGAAGGCGGGCCGTTTTCTTCGTAGGGCTCTCTTGGCACCGCGCGCAGTCGTTTAAGTTTACAGGCAGTTACACGGACGGCGGGCAGGGCGTCTTCAAAATGGGGCTCTCGCCGAGGTGCCGTTCAACCTCGTCTCTGAATGCATTCAGCGCTTGTGCAACTGACAAGCGTTTTTGTCTGTTTTCTTTTGTGCTGTTGTTGTCTTTTCTTCCAAAACGGCGTTCTCGCGTCATGCGGTCTGAGCTTGATCTTGCTCTTCATGTCCATGCTGCAAGCACTGAGTCGAAACAGCAGGAAAGAAGGAATGGAGAAAGGGAGGAAGGGAAGAACGGTCGGAGCGTGATAATGCCTTTTATGCGTATCTGAACGCACACGTGGTCCTCATCATGCCTCATACCTCCTCCTCCTCCTCATTTATCCCTGCTACCGCCTTGCCCTTCCTCCCCTCTCCTCCTCCGCCTCCTCCTCCTCCTCCTCCTCTCGACATTATCCAACTGCCCCTTGACTTCTGCCCGCTCGCTCGCTCCTTTATAAATACATATATACCTTTTCCTACTCCTTCTCCTCCTCCTCTTCCTCCTCCTCCTCCTTCTCCTCCTCTTTTACCCTTATTTTTTTTCCTCCTCCTCCTCCTCCTCCTCCTCCTCCTCCTCCTCCCCCCCTATCCTCCTTTGCCCCTCCTCCTTCCCCCCTCCCCCCGTTCCCTTCTCCTTCCCCCCTTCAACGTTCTCATCTTCTTCGTCGTCGTCGTCGTCGGCCTCCTCCTCCTCCTCCTCCTCATCCTCCCTCCTTCCTCCTCCATCCTCCCTCCCTCCATTTCCCCCCTTCGATCTCCGCCTCCCTCTCCAGACATGTTGACGGCGGCAGCGGCAAGGTGGACCGATTCGCCGCCGGCCCGTCTGCAGGGAAGGCGCTGGACAGCATGGGTCTCTTGGACCCCAACGAGCGGCTGAACGGGGCCTGCCTGATGTCGGTACCTGCCCCGTCGTAAGACCTCGAGACGGAAGCTGGAGGAGAGACAGTAGCAGGGGGAGGATGATGGCATGCGGCAACAGTTGCAGGTAACTCAGTTGAGTTAGCTGTAGCTCACGCTGGGTTACGTCTAGTTGAGTCCAGGATGCAGGTAACTCACACTCAGTTACCTGTAACTCAGGCTATAATCTACATGTAATTCAGCGGCGGCCGACTTACTTGTAAACCAGGCCCGGTTGTAGGTAGCCGAGCCTGGATTCGACGGGGTCGTAGACCTTACTGTGCCGACCGCCTGGCCCGACTCGTTCGCCCGATGGGGCCCCCCACTGGCATGTGCCGCTCGCTCGCCCGACCCACCCGCCCGAGGAGTGGCCCTGCTCGATGGGGGCCCTCTCTCTGCTGTCCCGCCTGCCCGACCTGGCCCGCTCGCCCGAGGAGTCGTCCTGCACCATGGGGATCCCGCACCTTTTTTATGCCCCGTCCGCCCGACGCGCCCCGCCCCGCCGAGAAGTTGTCCTGCCCCACGGGGTTCCACAGTTCAGTGCCCTGCGTACGCCGCCCATTCGGCTCCCTCGCTAGCTCTCACCTGTATTCAGGCAGAGTTGCTTGCATCTTAAGTTGAGTTACCTGTAGCTGAGGACAGGTTGCCTGTAACTGACGTTGGGTTCCCTGTAACTCGGGCTGAGTTACAGGTGACTCCCGGCTGGGGCGGGGGACGGGGCGGCGGGGCTGCGGCGGCTTAGTTTCCCGCGATTCGGATGAGTGGCTTGTAAACAAGGCTGACCTACCTGTAGCTAAGGCTGCGCTACAGGTTGTGACTGACGTTGAGCCACTTGTAACTCACCCCTGGTTGCAGGCAACTCGCGGGTCGGGGGACCAGGTGGCAGGGCGGCGGCCGAGTTACTTCTTCGAGGACCGAGGATCGAGGACGAGCTCGATTTTCGATCGAGGAGGTTCGAGGAGGATGAGGAGGAGGACCTGGAGGAGGAGGAGGAGGCGGAGGAGGAGGAGGATGATGAGGAGGAGGAGGAGGAGGAGGAGGAGGAGGAGGATCGAGGAGGAGAATCGATGAGGAGGATGAGGAGAAGGAGGAGGAGAAGGATCGAGGATCGAGGATCGAGGAGGAGTATCAAGGATCCAGGGCCAGGGCCGCCCGCGGCGGATGTCGAGCGTGCGCGGCCGCGCCCGGGGGTCGCCGAGGTGCTCGTGGGCATCATCTCCGTGAGCCTGGGCGTCCTGCAGTGCGGTGGGCCAGTCTGGCAGGGCCCGGTTTCGCCCCATGGGTCCGATCCGATGTCGGTTCCGGCCAGCGCGGTCTGATGCGATTCCGATATTGTAGTACCTTCGGCCAGTGCCGCCGATCCGGGTCGCTTGGGGTGCCCCCCAGACTGGGCGGCGATACTTCGTCGACAGACACGCACGCACACGCTCGCAGACATTCCGGCGATCCGATGCGGCCCGATGCTTGCACATGGCCCTGCGGCCCTGTTGTGCATCCTGGCAGACGGCAGACTCGATTCGATGCCAGCTCCGTGCCGGTGCGGCCCGATCCGACGCGCGTTTCGGTTCGATCCGGTTTCCCGATTCGGTTCTGGCTGTTCGTGCTTTCGTATCGGGGAGATGTAAGGCTCGAGCTTGCCATCCTTCTCGTGAGGAGCTTGTAGATGGAACTCGAGTCTCTCTTCTGTCAGGACCTGGATGGGCGGGGGGGAGGGGGGCTTCTTGAAGGCTTTGGGGAGCGTTTTGGAGGCTTGCTGGGTGTCCGGGGGGTCATACTTGGAGGGGGGAGGGCCCTTGGGGCAGGTCCAGACTCCCATCTTTGGGACGTTCTTGGGATTTTCTTTGGGGAACGGGGTATCTCTTGGGAGCTCGGGGCCGGGGGCCAGGGGAGGAGGGATAAGGAGCGGGTGGGGACGGGGGTAAGGCATAAGGAGGGGGAGGGAGGGACGATGATGAGGAGCAGGGGGTCAGGAGGAGGAGGAGAAGGAGGAGGAGGAGGAGGAGGAGGAGGATCAGGAGGAGGAGGAACAGGAGGAGAAGGAGAGGAGGAGGAGGAGGGAGGAGGAGGAGGAGGACGAGGAGGTGAAGGTGGAGGAGGAGGAGGACCCGAGTGAACCCAAACTATATAAACGATGCCATTAGACATCATCCCGTCGCAAGCCTCCTCCTCACGAGTCCCTGCAAGCACTGGCCCCCCGTTGGCCCCGCACCTCGGGCGGGGGCCACGCTTCGAAGAGGAGCTGCCCTCCATTCTTGGAGCCGTGAGGAGTGCGACAGGTTTGGACGGTAACGTGTGAGGAGGTATCCAGCGACAGCCCCGCTTCGAGAGGAGGAGGAGGAGGAGGAGGAGGAGGAGGAGGAGGAGGAAGAGGAGGAGGAGGAGGAGGAGGAGGAGGAGGAGGGGAGGAGGAGGAGGAGGAGGAGGAGGAGGAGGAGTCGCCCTGCGTCCGCGCATCTCCTGCTGGTGCGAAGGTCTGCGGCAGTCTCGGGCGAGAGCACCGTTTTTCGAAGCAGGGCCGACCGCCGCACGGTGACCGTTCATCGCTCCGCAAGGCAGCTCACCTGCGGGGTTGGACGCTGCATTCGCACGGCGTTCGAGGCAGCTCACCGGCTGTACGCTTGCGTCACCGAGGGCGTCATCGTGCTGGCGTGCCCGCTCCTCCTCCTGCCCCTCCCCCCAAACACTTATTTCGAAAAGGGACTGCACTTCATCCGTGCAGGTGTTGCGCAGTTTGGCATTCCCGGTCGTAGGTGTTGAGGAATTCCCAGGCGAGAGAACACCTCATTCTGAAGAGGACCAGCCCTCCGTTTGTGTAGCTGTGGCAAGCTTCGGCAGGCGTTGTATCCAAGTGTCGGGAAGTCTTCGGCGAGAGCCATTCTGGAAAAGAGATGCCCTCCGTCCGTGCAACGCCTGTTTTTTTTTCTGCGGGCGCGTGTGTGCGCGCTGCGCGAGGCCCCCGTGCCGAACACCCGCTGTCCTAGACGGTGAGGACGTCTCGGGCGAAACGCCCGGCCCGCCCACACGGCATGTCCGGTCGGCGTTCGGGGGGGGGGCAGCGCGCCGAGTTTTTCTCGACGAGGCTCGAGGCGCGGGGGTGGGGCCTGACGCTCGCGCGCCGCCCGCCGTCGCCGCGCCGAGCGCCGCCGAAGCCAGACGTGCGAGGCGTTTCCAAAAAGGGCCCTGCCTTCGAGGCTCGAAGGAGTGGCCATCTCTTCTTCGGCGGAGGGCGGCGGAAGGGCGGCGGAAGGTCGGCGGAAGTGGAGCGAGGCCGCCTCCGCCGGCCGAAGGTCGGCGGAAGCTCAGCGGGAGCTGGCGAAGCAAGAGTCGGCCTCCCAAGAGATGGAAGCGTTTTTGGGTCCGGGGTTTCCGAAATCGCTGATGTGATTCTCTCCCGCGCGCGCACGAGTCTGCACGCTCGCGGTCGCCTCGGCGTCTGCCAAGGATCGATCCTGCCTGAGAGCTGGCCCGGGTCGCCCCTGAGACCTAAGATCCTGGCGTCGCACTGCTTTTTGCATCGGGCGATTCTGCCTTGTTTCGGGCCCCTGGACCCTCGCAAATCGATCTGGCTCGAGAAATGCCGCACAAAGATGGGGTCTAGGGGTCCGGGCGCGATTTTTTTGCGATGTTGCATTTTTTCCGCAATGTCGGAGCTTAGGGTCCCAGGGCAGCATCTCTCCAGCGTCAGGTCCGCGCCGCTTCGGCGCTGCGGCGGCGACGCCAGCGCGGGTGCTCAAGATCGAGCGCCTCTGGTGGCCTGGAATCAGCCGGTGTCGATCGATCTGCGCTGCGCCATCGGAGAGTCGCGATCGCTCCAGGTTGAACGAGCCACGCTGTGTCAGGAGCCCTAGCCGACGTCGTCGTGGCGTGAACTCGCCGCATCGGTGCAGCCGCCTTTGCCGTGGGCAGTGCGGTCCGCCTGCTCAGTGCTCTGTTCCCGCTCCCCCGCTTCCTGCTTCTTCCATGCTCTCGCACTGGCGCAGTTCCCCTGCGGTGCACCTCACCTGTTGCGTCCTGCTCGCCGAGACCCGCCTTGGACGCCCGCCCGCCAAGATGTGAGCGGCGGGCACGCCGCAGAAGAGGCCAGCCTGCCAGACAGGTCAGAGAGACGGGCAGGCAGTGACAGGCAGGGCAGAAGCAGAACGGCCCGTGGGAAGCCAGACGGCTCGTCGGTCCTGACACCGCGCCAGGCTGGCACAGGCGGGAACGTGTGTGTGTGTGTGTGTGTGTGTGTGTGTGCCTCGTCCCCGGCCTGCGTCCTTGCCCACCCCCTGCCTGCCTGCTTCTCTCCTCCTCCTCCTCCTCCTCCTCCTCCTCCCTCCTCCTCCTCCTCCTCCTCCCTCCCTTCTCGTGGTCCGCTCTCGCCGCCCCGGCCGCCGTCCCTCCCGGTCCGTCCGTCCTCCTCGCTTGCCGCCTGGCCCGGACGCGTCGCCCGCTGAGACCGCCGACTGACAACTACGCGCGCGCGTGCGCGTGCGCGTGCGCGCGTGCGTGTGGTCTCTGTGTGTGTGTGTGTGTGTCTGTGTGTGTGTGTGTGGTCTGTGTGTGTGTGTGTGCGTGTGTGTGTGTGTGTGTGTGTGTGTGTGTGTGTGTGTGTGTGTGTGTGTGTGTGTGTGTGTGTGTGGGTGTCTGTGTGTGTGTGTGTGTATGTGTGGTCTGTGTGTGTGTGTGTCTGTGTGTGTGTGTGTGTGTTGGCGCCCCACGGCAATTTCATATTTTTCACGCTCCGCGTATCCCTGCCAGCCTAATCAGAGACGTTGCCCATGAGAGTTGATGGGGAACGGGAGGACGAAACTCATGTAGTGAAACGACGCGAGCAAGGAGAGGACGGGCAGAATGGCATTGAGCCACCTTGGAGGCCATTTTGACCATTGAAGGCCTTCTTGGTGCCACCGTGGGCGAAAGGGGACCCTCTGACACCTCGCGAGTGTGAGGAGGAGGAAGAGGGCGAGGACGAGGAGGAAGAGGATGAGGAGGAGGAGAAGGAGGAGGACAAAGAGAAGGACGAGGAGAACGACGACTAGGATGAGGACGACGACATCGAGGACGAGGAAAACGAGGGCGAGGAGGATAAAGAGGACGTGGAGGAGGCGGAGGAGGAGGAAGAGGAGGACGAGGACGAGGAAGACGGGTACGAGGACGATGCCGAGGACGAAGAGCAGGAGAAGGACGATGAGGAGGACGACGAGGAAGAGGTTTCTTGTAGCCACATTTTAGTTTTGTTGGTACCATGTTGGGTTCTCTTGGGGCTCTCTCGGGACCCTCTTGGGGTCAACGAGTAAGAGGACGAAAAGGAGGCGGACGAGGAGGAGGACGACGACGACGAGGTCAAGAACGGGGCCGGGGACGAGGACAAGGACGAAGAGGAGGAGGAAGTGGACGACGACAAGGAAGATGACGACGATGAAGACGAGGACGATGACGAGGACGAGGACAACGACGAGGGCGAGGAGAACGAGGACGAGGATGAGGAAGTCGAAGACTAGGAGGAGGAGGAGGAAGAGGAGGAGGAGGAGGAGGAGGAGCATGAGGAGGAGGAGGAGGAGGAGGAGGAGGAGGAGGAGCATAAGGAGGAGGAGGAGGGCAACGAGTACAAGAACTCTTTGAGCCGTCTTGGGGTCCTCTTGGGGTTTGCTTTGGGTTCTCCTGGGGCCCTCTCGGGGCCTTGATCAGAGTATCTTTGGGCCCTCTTGGGGCTCTATTAGGGCCCTCCTGGGGTCAACGAGTAAGAGGACGAAAAGAAGGCGGACGAGGTGGAGGAGGACGATGACGACGAGGTCAAGAACGGGGCGGGGGACGAGGACAAGGACGAGGAGGAGGAGGAGGAGGAGGAGGAGGAGGAGGAGGAAGTGGACGACGACAAGGAAGACGACGACGATGAAGACGAGGACGAGGACGAGGACGAGGACGACGACGAGGGCGAGGAGAACGAAGACGATGATGAAGAAGTCGAAGACTAGGAGGAGGAGGAGTAGGAGGAGGAGGAGGAGGAGGAGGAGGAGGAGGATGAGCATGCGGAGGAGCATGAGGAGGAGGGCAACGAGTACAAGAACTCTTTGAACCATCTTGGGGTCCTCTTGGGGTTTGCTTTGGGCTCTCCTGGGGCCCTCTCGGGGCCTTGATCAGAGTATCTTTGGGCCCTCTTGGGGCTCTATTGGGGCCCTCTGGGGGGCCCTGTAAGGCCTCTTGGGGCCATCTTGTTGGGCGTCGATCGAAGGATGGAGGTGTCCTAGATTTGCGTCCCCCTCTTGGGCCATCAATATCGCTTGGGGTGCTCTTGGGGCGAGAAGGCAAAACTCATAGATGTCCTTTCGGCTTTTGAAGCGTTTTGGCTTCTTGGGTGGTTCCTGAGGGAGCTCCGAGAGCACTTTGGGCCGTCGTGGAGCGTGCTGGGCCATCTTGTGGGCCACCTTGGATCATCCGAGGCCCTCTTGAGGTCATCTGGAGCTATTTTGGAAGCTCTAACCCCTCGCCCCCCCTCTCAAGAAACCTCACGGAGGGGAGGGGGATGGTACCCTCCCCAAAAGGAATGTGGTTCTGGAAGAGAAACGGAAGAATTCGTTATACCACGTGCGCCCAGAGGGTTGGTGAGATTCCTGCGAACTCCAGGATCCACAGAAGTCTTGGGGCATTCCGCGAAGGTCAAATATTCACGGCTCATCCGCGCTTGCACTTCTTATAACAAGACCTCTTGTCACTCACGGGGGCGTGCCCCGCCACGCCAGCGAAGTACAGGTATATGCCCCAAAATATTCAACTCTAGCGTCCCTATGGTTTCTGGAGCCCACCATCTGTTGATAACACGTTGTTGTTCTACCCGGGGGCAGGTTTCATCGTGGATTTCATGTCCCACAGCGTGATGAGCGCCTTTTGCTCCGCGGCTGGCATCACCATCGCAACCTCGCAGTTGAAGTACATGTTTGGCATCACGATGGAAAGGCTTTAGCAGCTGTGTGCGGGTGAAGACTTGGAGAGATGGTGGATGATGACGAGGAGGACGAAGGACGGAGGAGGAGGAGGAGGAGGAGGAGGAGGAGGAGGAGGAGGAGGAGGAGGAGGAGGAGGAGGAGGAGGAGGAGGAGGAGGAGGAGGAGGAGGAGGGACGAGGTGGAGGAGGAGGGGGAGGAGGAGGAGGGGACAACTATTGTGAGGAGGATCTGACGGAAGAAGAGGAGGAGGTTGATTATGAGGAATAGAAGGGGGATGATGAGGAGGCGGAGGGCGGCTCCGCTGAGCCAGGCGGCGAAAGCACAACGGCCTGGCCGGGCCCGGGGGAGGCAGGGGGGCGCGGGCAACGGGTAGGAGGAGGAGGAGGAGGAGGAGGAGGAGGAGGAGGAGGAGGAGGAGGAGGAGGAGAGGAGGAGGAGGAGGAGGAGGAGGAGGAGGAGGAGGAGGAGGAGGAGGAGGAGGAGGAGGAGGAGCAGGAGGAGGAGGGCAGCAGGAGGAGGAGGAGGAGGAGAGGAGGGGAGGAGGAGGAGGAGGAGGAGGAGGAGGAGGAGGAGGAAGAAGAGTCAGAGGAGGAGGAGAAAGAGGATGGCGCAGGTCGCGTCTGTCAGGCTTTCGATGAGGTGTTGGGCTTGTGGTCGCGGCTGGCTTGGGAGGAGGTCTCAGTTTACTCGGCGCCCTTGTGTGGATGCTCCGCTGTGCCACCAGGCTCTCTTCAGAGTGGGGGTTCTCGCGCCGCTGGTTAGGCTATGCTTGTCGTTGCTCCGCCCTCTCGCGTCTCTCTGCTGCTGCTGCTGCTGCTGCTGCTCCTCCTCCTCCTCCTCTTCCCCCTCAGTATTTCATCATCGCCGCCAACTTCTGTGTGACACGTAGCACGCTGTTGCCACGTACGCGGTTCTGCCTCGCTGTGCCCCCTCCCGCTCGCGCCTCCATCGGGAGAGGGGGAGCCTTCGGATGGCATGTAGCACTCATCCGTGATTGTGCTGTGAACGAGTGCTGCTCATGCTGCGTCGTCGTCAGGGATACGGCCAGAACGCAAAGGGGGCTGCCTAAGGGGACTCGTCCCAGTGGGATCCCTTCCCAGAGTAGGCGCACTGCAGGATCTGGCTCGATTTCGTAAAAAAGTTCCGTCCACTCGCCGTCCACCCCTGTGCGGCGGTCCGTCAAAGGTCATATGTGGTCGGCACGAGTGCGCTGCTGGTGTGACAAGCGCGCTTGGCTTTGCGCGCGTGTTCGGAACGCCAGCTGTAACCCTGAAGAGTTGCTTTGGGGGGATTTTTGCGCCAGTGGCGTTGCCCGCCCCCTCGCCTGGAGGGGGACTTCCAGCTTCGTGCAACACCGCTTCTGCATCTTGGCAAGACCGCACTGCGCACCTGGCTGCCCCTGGCCAGTCCCGGCCCGAGCAGTTGCCACCTCGCACGACTCCTGGCCAGAGCCTGAGGCCGCCGTACTGTCCGCGAAGACCCCCATGGCCTGTGAGCCGCCCCTCTCCCCTCCCCTCCCTCCACGGTCGTCTCCTTCTGTTGTGGGGTTGGGCCAGGGTGTTCGGTCCACCCCGAGGGGTCCAAAGACCACCAGCTCTTCGGCTCCCTTTCCCTCCGCCTTCTGCCTCACCCTGGTGGCGAAGATACGGTGCCCGCGCGCTACGCTGTCAGTCTCATCGGACAAGTCAGGGCTCCGCTTTGGGGAGCCTCTCACTCCTCTCCCTGCTGCTGCCGCTTCCGCTCCCCCCCTCCTCTCCTCCCTTCCCGCCTCCCCCGTCCCGGCTCACATTCTCATCTCAGGGAGCTGGATGCGCAGAGAGCGGCCAGCCCCTGGGCGAGAGCTAGATTTCACACGCGGTCCGATGCCGCTCCAGCGTTCGGCCTTACAGCGGCTGGGTGCGGTGGGCTCCCGCATGTGCACCTGGCGCGAGGCCTCCGGATGTTCCACATGGGAATGCAGCCCTGTGCGTTTCCGGATCCCTGGGAGAGGCTTGTGTCGTGGGGGATGGGGGCCAAGGACTGGGAGGGGTATGGAGGAGGAGATGGAGAGGGGAGAGGCGCGGGCAACAGTGCCCTCGTGCATATTGTCCAGATTCGGTTCTCTGGAATGGCCTTTCAGCCGGGTGTCTTGTTGAGCCTTGGCTCGGTAGTAGTCGATTTATGGATTTTGTCCGCCTCCATTTCATTGTGCGCTCGGTCTAGCGTTCCCTAGTTCCCTTTCTCCCTAGTGCTAGTCAACTCGAGTTTGCAGTGTGTGTGTGTGTGTGTCCTCCGCTCGCTGGTTTCATTGCTCCTTCGTGCCGTCGGCCCTCTCTGAGCTGCACCTCCGATCCGGCTACGTGGATATGTTTGGAGGCTGTTGTGCCGAGCCCCCCCCCGACGCCCTTCGGCCAGTCGAGTTGGTGCATTGTATTCTTGGACTTTCCGTTAGTCTCTGTCCAGGGGCTCCGGACCGGAGCTGTGATGATTCTTTGTTTCTCTGTCGGTGGGCAGGCCTTCTGGGTCGTGGGTCCTACCTGCAGCAGGGAACATATTGGTTCTGATTGCATGTCGATGGCAGCCTGCAGGCAGCAACACGTCCCCATCCCATTGTTTGGGGCTGCCTCGGGCTCGAGAGGCATTGCACGTGGCGTTGCCCTCGCGTAGAAGACCAGGCGATGCAGAGGCCGCTGCGGGCTCGGGGAGAACGCTGCAGAAAGCCTGGAGTTTTTTTTTTTTTGCAATCCTTTTTTTTGCAATCCTGGTTTTTTTTTGCAATCCTTCTGGGTTTTCTTTTTGCAATTCTTGTTTTTTTTTGCAATCCTTCGCTCGGGGAGAACGCTGCATAAAAAGCTTGGAGAGTGGGGTGCTGCTGGCAGGCATCACTACTGGTGGCAGACCGTGGGCGACCTCCTGCTGCATCTCCCGGACACGGACGGAGCCACGTTTGTGCTCGCCTGGAGGGGGTGGGGTGCACCTCCGGAGGAGAGCTGCGGAGCTCGTTAGGCGCATGGCCGAGCAGTCGTGTGCAGAGCGTCGCGGCCACAGCACTCATGGGAGGCGGCCAGAGCTACAGTTCAGATCGTGGATCCGATACGGAGCTCAGTCTTATGCGACCTGAGAAGAGTCACTGCGTTCCAGTGCTTTCGTCTTCTTAGACCCTGGAAGCGGCATTCAGGAATACTTTTTCCAGCGCCGCTCCTTAGCTGCAGGGCATTCCGCACCAAGTTGTCGATCGGGTTCACAATCCACGGAGCCCAGCAGGTTCAATGTTAGCCAGCGTGTGCCCCCAAACATGGTATGTATAGCAGTTTAGGTTGTGACACATATGTTTTGCAATCTATGTGGTTCAATCTATCTGGTGCAATGTATGTTGTGCAATTATGTAGCTTCTGTTCGCAGTGAGTTGTCCGCTCCACTGCTCGCGCAATCATCCCACCCACACACCCGCAACTTGGTTTGCCGAACCCATGCGGCGGCGATTGCGATGAGTGCTTGGAGTTGGCTGCGGCATCTCTGCGGCCGCGCTCGCCTGCGGATGCTCGCGCGCGCAGCGGCCAGCTAGCTTGACGTGACCGACGCGGCCGCTGTGGCGGTGACCGTTGGGCATTTCCCAGCGGGCACTTCAATGCGAGTCGGCGACTTGGGCGGGCGCGGTATCATGGCACCGTCGATAACGGTAGACGCGAGGATGACGGTAGTGATGCTGGCAACGATGATGACAACGACGATGGCAAGGCCAGTGACGGCGCCGATGCTGCTCACGCCGAGGACGATGATTGCGCCCCCGCGTCGGTGATGCAGATTTTGGAAGGATCTCGACATGCTTTGACACAGATCGTGCCCCCCCCATCACGCGCGCAAATGCGTTCGAATGAATTCGACGTGCGGCGCCAGGGGCCCGTTTGATGGAATGACATGAATATTTGCATGGGCGCGAACGCAGTCACTTTTGAGCGAATCCATGTTGCAAAGCCACGTGTTTTTAGTATGTTTTCGGGATGCTCGGGTTTGAAACCCATACGAACCCGCAGGTGTTTAAACACGAATTTCGGCAAGCGCACGGCGACGCGCGCGTGTGCAGTTCGTCCAGTTTTTTGAAAAGGGGTTCTTACGACAGCACGCGCGCAACGGCGTTCCAACGATTCCGACATGCGCACGCGAGAGGCCCGCTTGGTAGCAGTTTATAGAAATATTGAAGTTTTGGGCTTTCTGGATAAATTCTAAATGCTTCGCGTAACCCCACCAGCCCATCCAGAAACGATGCCCCGAGGAATTGCCTTGACCAGGGAAGTGGGCAGCACATAGAGGAAGTGCCCCCCAGAGAAGGCCTCGTGGAGCGTCTTGGGTGCCTCGCAGAGCTTCTTGGGGCCTCTTGGGGGTCTCTTGGGAGCATCTTGGAGGCCTCTTGGGCGCCTGTTGGGGCCTCCTGGGCGCTTCTTGAGGCCCTCTTGAAGCGCTCTTGGGAGCCTTGGGAGCGCTCTTGGGGCCATCTTGGGGGGCATCGATCAAACAAGAAGCAGCGAACACTAGTCAGCGTTGCCCCTCGGGAGCCCAAACACTCGCCTCTTGGGGCGCTCTTGGGGCGCTCTTGGAGCGCTCTTAGGCGCTCTTGGGGCCGCCTGGGGATCTCTGGAGCCTTTATTGGAACCCTCTTGAGCCATCCTGGAGCCATCTTGAGGCCTCGGATGGCCATCTCAAGCGAAAAGGCGAGAAAGCCAAACACATAGAAGTTCCGCAGGTTTTGGCCTCTTCGGGGCCTCCTGGGGGAGCTCTTTGGCCACTGGGAGTCGTATTGGAGCGGTCTTGGGGTATCTTGGAGCATCGTGGGAGCCATGATGAGACATCTTGGGATATCTTGAGCCATCTTGGAGGTCACCTTGGGCTCTCCCAGGCGCTCTCGGAGTCATCTTAATCAGTGCCCCCCCAAGAGGCCAACATGTGGCTAAAACCTTAGTGCAATCAATGATTTGGCATTCTCGCCGAGCCCTCTTGGAGCATCTTGGGTGCCCCATGGGTGGGCCTCTTGGGGGTCTCTTGGGAGCCTCTTGGGGGCATCCTGGGGGCCTCTTGGGGCTTCCTGGCCACCTCTTGGGGCCCTCTTGGGGCACCCTTGGGAGCCTTGGGGACCATCTTTGGGCCATGTTGGGTAAGATCGATCACAGGAGGGGGGGACACTAATTAGGGCCCCCCCCATTAGGATGCCAACATGGGGCCAAAACCCTTTGTACAACCAATGATTTTGGCTTCCTCGCCGAGGCCGTTTTGGACGCTCCGACACCTCGCGAGACCCCCTGTCCAGGTCCGTGGGGAGGTTGGGAGGGGGTCAAGAGTCTCCCTCCCCGCCCGCAAGCCGTCTCGCTCACTCCCACCCGCCCTCCCACCGCAGCATATGCAGCAGCCGTCTTTGGATGGGCAGCTACTGGGGGCGAATCCGCCGCCGCCGCCGCCGCCGCCGTCTCCGCCGCCGCCGCGCCGCCGCCGCCGCCGCCGCTGTCCGCCGCTGCCGCCGCCACCGCGCTGGCCGCCGCCGCGCCGCCGCCCCCC